TAGAATTCGCTTTAAAACTGATACTCCGTTCTAGAAATGGGCCAATTTCTTATACTCCGTTCTAGGGTGCAAAGAGTACAACAGTTTGCTTGTTAACGCATTGAACGTATTTTTAAAAGCAATCTGTCCTTGAATAATTTCAAATGGCTGCTTACAAAACTGGAGCTTTCGTGCGTTCGAAATATTATACCCCGTTCTTGAAAACGCCTCTGAAATGGATACCCCGTTATAAATCAGGAGCTTCAAAATCACGACCCCGTTGGGCGGCACATACCCGTATAGGTAATGTATGGGAGTACTCCCCCCCCGGAACCGGTCAAGGTTTTCAAAACACTTAATGGCCGGCAGTCCTTTATTCTCAGTAAATTTCACAAAATCGAAAGGTTCCAGCTAATCTAAACTATCATATGTCGATTTAGAAAAGTCAAGCGATCCTGAAATGCTTTACAGATCTCAAGTCTAGTGTTTGGTTTGCGCTGGGCTGAGAGGAGGAAATCATGTTTTGTGACACAAATTTTTTCCGCTCGACTGCCGGTCAAGGTTTTCAAAACACTAAATGGCCGGCAGTTCTATATTCTCAGTAAATTTCACAAACTCGAAAGATTCCAGCTAATGTAAACTATCATATGTTGATTTAGAAAAGCCAAGCGATCCTGAAATGCTTTACAGATCTCAAGTCTAGTGTTTGGTTTACGCTGAACCACGTTTTGTGACACTTTTCCGCTCGACTGCCGGTCAAGGTTTTCAAAACACTAAATGGCCGGCAGTTCTATATTCTCAGTAAATTTCACAAACTCGAAAGATTCCAGCTAATGTAAACTATCATATGTTGATTTAGAAAAGCCAAGCGATCCTGAAATGCTTTACAGATCTCAAGTCTAGTGTTTGGTTTACGCTGAACCACGTTTTGTGACACTTTTCAGCTCGACTGCCGGTCAAGGTTTTCAAAACACTAAATGGCCGGCAGTTCTATATTCTCAGTAAATTTCACAAACTCGAAAGATTCCAGCTAATGTAAACTATCATATGTTGATTTAGAAAAGCCAAGCGATCCTGAAATGCTTTACAGATCTCAAGTCTAGTGTTTGGTTTACGCTGAACCACGTTTTGTGACACTTTTCAGCTCGACTGCCGGTCAAGGTTTTCAAAACACTAAATGGCCGGCAGTTCTATATTCTCAGTAAATTTCACAAACTCGAAAGATTCCAGCTAATGTAAACTATCATATGTTGATTTAGAAAAGCCAAGCGATCCTGAAATGCTTTACAGATCTCAAGTCTAGTGTTTGGTTTACGTTGAACCATGTTTTGTGACACTTTTCAGCTCGACTGCCGGTCAAGGTTTTCAAAACACTAAATGGCCGGCAGTCCTATATTCTCAGTAAATTTCACAAAGTCGAAAAATTCCAGCTAATCTAAACTATAACATGTCGTGATCCTGATCAAACCAGCCGGTTTTGTGAGATTTCTATATCATATTTTTGTTGGTCGCGAGTCTTTGGATGTTCGTTACTGTTTTCTGTCCAAAGCGTGGCGTGACAGGCGACGTTTGACGTCATGCCATCTTGACCTTTCATACCGCCTTTGGGGAAACCGGCGGGAAAAGTCTCCACGCGTTAGTTGGGTCTGCTGCTTCTGGAGGCGAAATAAACTTTAACATTATCTTGTCGACGTTATGATGAGACGAAAAAGCTTTTTTGTACAAGGTAATCTTTAACTTTGCGTTGATGTATAGAAATAATACCGAGTTTTATCCGTTCTTTGCCACTGAGTGAACTGCAGAGTGGACTGATTATAAGAATTCTCACTGATGTATTTCATCTACAATTTTACATCTTTCAGCCCAGAAAATGGATTCCAAGTTGCAGGTTAGTTAATTTTTTGGTGACCTTTCAGCCTGTTTCGGCACATAAACTACCCTCAATGCGGGAGGCTTTTCATGTGTTATTGAGTTTGGAAGTGAAGTCGCCTGCAGGGAAACGTGACAGAAAAGCGCGCGACGTGCTCTCCTTAATAGTAGGAAATTAATCATGAAATGGTACATCAAGAGGGAAAAATTTGTAAACTTTCCCACTAACGAAAGGATCTGAAGTAACAATTTAAAGAGAGGGAATAGTGGTTTGATTTTGGATAATGTCGGTATTGAGAGGTGACACCATCGTTTGTTTATGGGAGGGGGAAGAGGCGGAGGTAAGAGAGTGGGTGAGTGAGTGAGTGGGTGAGTGGGGCTGGGGAGGTCCATCAGCTGTCTTCAGGAGCCCATTACCTCATGGCTTTAATTATTGCTTGCATAACGGACTTCTTCCTATCACTTTGCTGCTGGTTGAGATTGTACAAAGTCACTTCGATCGGCAAGATTTTGAATGGATAACGATGACGATACGGGGGCGAGCGTTTGGGAAAGGCCCCTACAAAGTTAAGTAGCCGATTCTATGAGCCGGGCAGGCAAGGTTCACCGGAGCNAGAAAATGGATTCCAAGTTGCAGGTTAGTTAATTTTTTGGTGACCTTTCAGCCTGTTTCGGCACATAAACTACCCTCAATGCGGGAGGCTTTTCATGTGTTATTGAGTTTGGAAGTGAAGTCGCCTGCAGGGAAACGTGACAGAAAAGCGCGCGACGTGCTCTCCTTAATAGTAGGAAATTAATCATGAAATGGTACATCAAGAGGGAAAAATTTGTAAACTTTCCCACTAACGAAAGGATCTGAAGTAACAATTTAAAGAGAGGGAATAGTGGTTTGATTTTGGATAATGTCGGTATTGAGAGGTGACACCATCGTTTGTTTATGGGAGGGGGAAGAGGCGGAGGTAAGAGAGTGGGTGAGTGAGTGAGTGGGTGAGTGGGGCTGGGGAGGTCCATCAGCTGTCTTCAGGAGCCCATTACCTCATGGCTTTAATTATTGCTTGCATAACGGACTTCTTCCTATCACTTTGCTGCTGGTTGAGATTGTACAAAGTCACTTCGATCGGCAAGATTTTGAATGGATAACGATGACGATACGGGGGCGAGCGTTTGGGAAAGGCCCCTACAAAGTTAAGTAGCCGATTCTATGAGCCGGGCAGGCAAGGTTCACCGGAGCGACAATCAGCTTGTATAAATTGAGGGGAGACTGCTCGGGTAAAAGCTTATGTTTCGTATTCCTCTCATTTGTTTACCATTTTTATTACTATTATTATTTTTTGGGTGTGGGAGGGTGTTAAAATGGCGCCTACGAGAAGGATGACCAAACGACTCTCATCAGCTTTCTCCAGTATTTGACTATTTACTCACTTCAATACAATTCACCCTTTATAGGAAGAGTAACAAGGATAAAATGGTAGCTAACTTCGTTCGGACACTAACCTCGTTCCCAGGGTGTTTGCACCGAAATTTTTACGGAGTTATTATAACTCCAAAATGGAGTAAGAATGTTAGGTACAGGATAACCCCTTTTTTGGGGTTACTTTAACTCCTAATTTGACTCCAAATTTGGGGTCATTTTTACTCCTGAAAAAGAGGTCTTTTTACTCTTAGTCTGGAGTTAAATTAAACTAACTCCAAAAATGGGGTTATTTTTACTCCTTCCATGGGTTGTTTTTACTCTTTCTGGAGTTAATTTAATTCTGTAAGTGGCGTAAAAATTTAAGGTACAGGATAAATCCTTTTTTGGGGTTATTTTAACTCCTCAATGCCTGGGGTCATTTTAAAAATAACTCCACTGTAAGGAGTTAAATTAACCCCACTAGAGGAGTCATTATAACTCCTTGAAAATTACTGTGGCGAAACGAGATTTAAAACACTCTTTTCTGGGCTGGGTTGGCAAACGCTCTCACATGAAACCTCTTAGCCTCTAAGGTAAGTTAACGTGCTCATAAATTCTGCCATGTCTTTTCTTCTCCTTGGTTTGGCCAAAGCGCCTTCTGTCATTTAAATACTTGAAGATTACGTTTAGCATTACACGACTTAATTTTTTTTGTCCTTTAGTATTATTAACCAGAGATTCGCTTTTAGCCCTGGCTAAATCTATATACCGTAAAATTCCGAAAATAAGCCCCTCTAAGTATAAGCCTCCCAAATATTAGCCCCCCAAACCGGTGACGCAAAAACCCCTCCGTTAAATCGCCCCTCCAAGTAGAAGCCCCCCGGGGGCTTGTACTTGGAAAATTGCCCACAAAAACAAAGTAAAACAAATCAAAAACGAGGAATTTACTTCCAACTATAAGGCTAGCCCAATCGATTTTGAAACGCAAACTTCCCTCCGTAGATAAGCCCCTCCGAATATAAGCCCACCAAAAATAAGCCCCTCAAAAAGGGTCTTTGAAAAATATAAGCCCCGGGGTTTATTTTCGGAATTTTACGGTATTATGGTATTGAAATTTTGCAGTCCATTGTTTAATATCTGGTATTAATTTACGCGTTTTATGAGCATATATATATAATTTTTTTATTTTAAAGGAAATTGTTAGAAATGGAAATTTCGAAAGCATGACAAGGCGCGAAGCTGCTTCCATAGAGTACCCCCCCCCCCGTTATTCAGACGAGTAGGACGACGCTGTTACCACAGCAGCCCAAGAAACCATCAGATATCGGAGTCCACCTGCCAGCAGATGAAAGAGCTTTGTCTAAAGGGAAACTACGTCGCTGTCGATTGTGATATAGGAGCGTTCACACTAGATTCGATCGAGTTGCTGTTAAAAATACATAGCCTCCGAAACGTGAGGCATGCCGTTCTCAAAGAGCAACAGTGGCTGAAGAAAGAAATAAACCTCCCGGATTCCGCGTGCTCGTATTCAAAGGAGCATCTGGTTTGTTATGCCGAGAAAATTTTCAATACCCCCAACCACCGTAGCCCCCTACCCAGTAACCGATGTATCCTTGCATCTGATCTCGCCACCATCGCGGGAACCGGCTGGCACAACTTTTGCGTAATAACTGGTATTACCGAAATTCTAAATAGAGACAGCGAGGAAACAGCGGCACTCATATTAAACAACATGGTCTTGGTCGAAGAGTAGGACCTTCCCAAGTACGTTAATTGTAACATCAGAGGTGGAGTAAAGTACGTCGTTCTCTTCGCAAATGTTGGAAAGAACAAAAGAAACGAAGTTTTTATTAGCAAGCTGGGGCATCCAGGCAATCACTGGACATTACTATACGTTGACTTGACGGTCAACAAATGGTATTATATTGATACCTTTTGTTGGGGGATGCACGAAAATTTAAAGAACGCAGTTTCCCCTTTTGTTTCAGTCATCTACCAACAAGGCGGTATGGCACTCAAGCCCGTCAGCGGCATCGTGCCAGCGCACATTGAAAGTTTTGGCCTAAGTCATTCCTGCTCTAAAACTTGCCTAAACAACATCCCAGTTCAAACCTGTGGCAATATCTGTGGGGTCGCTGCAGCAGTACTTGCAGGAATCGCTTGTGCTGCCCCTTGGCCGTGGAGAAACGTATTCCTCAACAGGAATACCGTTGCTGAAACCTACTGTTCACTCCGACTTTATAAGATGCTCTATCATTTCTTGGCTTTTAACCGACTCAATCGATCTTTCTACTCTTGGAATAACGAGAGAGCAGGTGGAACCCCGACTGCGAGATCACGATTTCCCTTCCCGTCGCCGATTCCTTGGCAAGGTGACCATTTCAGACGATGGTCATGTGGACGAAAACGAGAAAAATGTCAAGGACAACAAAGGAGAATCACCGTCAGGGGATTCCAGTTCTAAGGATGACGCCAGCAGAATGTAGAACCTTTCCGAGGGGTGGATAACAGTCCAGTATGGCAAGAAAAGAAAGAAGGTGGATAACCAAGGAAGACAAAGAAAAAGTAACAACAATTCGTCACGGGAAGCTTCTTCGGCAAAGAAAAACAGTCACGTCAACAGCAAGGGAAACAATAATAGCCCCCGCCGAAAAAGAAACGATGGACCATCCGTCGATAATTCCCATGGTTTAAAGAAAGAAAAACGTGCATGCAAAAAGGTAGATGATAAAGACAAGATTCCTTATCCATAATTGAACTGAATTTTCCTCTTTGGTATGACGCCACGATTTCTGACAATGAGTGTGCAGACTTTTATCAGCACAACACAGTAAGAATAGACTCCAGAGGGAACTCAAAGTCAAATGTAGAGGAAAACATGGAGTGCCACCCTCAGAGATGACGACTGGATAAAAGTCCAACGGAGAAGGGAAGTGAAGAATGTAAATACCCAGAGAAGACAAGGACATCATGAAAACAAGAATACGACAGATGTCATTGCTGAGCCAAGAAAACACGGTCAAAACATCAGTGTGAAGTGCAAAAATAATGGCTCCCCCTGGAGAGAAAATGATAGATCATCGGATGATGCTGTCAATGATTTAAAACAAGAAAACGTTGGAAATGAAATGGCAGATGGAGAAGATATGATTCATAAAAAAAATGGTGGATCATCGGATGATGATGCCAATGGTTCAAAAAAAGAGAACATTGGTTGTGAAATGGCAGATGGTGAAGATATGATTCATAACCACAGTGAAGATAGAAAGCTAAAACAAGAAGATAAGAGACCTTTCCATAAAGAGATCGATGGAATGTCCAAGCACATGCAGAACGCTCCGTTGCAGAGAATGAAGGATCCAGTCTGGGAGAATAAAGGAGACAGGGAAGAGTGGTAAAGGAAGAAGAAAGGATTGATGCGGAAAACTCCGAAAATGATGAAGAAACCATAACTACAGGGGTGCATTATGTTATTCAACTAAAATAATTGTTGATGGAATGCTGAAAGATGGAAACCAAAAGGTTTTACAGGAAACCATTGATGAAATGGCCATGACTGAAAACACTGTCGGTGATCAAAAATTCGAAGATGACAAGGAGAAGTGCTGCCGTTTGTCTGAGAATGTTGTCAGTCCGGGAGACGTGGAGGGTGTTCCTATTCAAGAGAAAAGAGAGAAGGATGAAAAAAATGTTGATCATATTTACCTTGACGATTATCATGAGAGTCGTGAGTGCGTTAATGATGGTTATGGGCCTCAGTGTTCTGGTGGGATGCCAGTGGACGGGGCAGAAAGTAATGGAGAAGATGACGAGAGAAATGTTGTGATGAAAAGTGATGTGTTCTTTGTCGGCCAAAAATTCCATAGCCTTGAAGAACTTAAAACGGCCAAACGGGTGTATGAAATAGTAACTTCTGTGAGTTGTGGAAAAGAGACGTGAGGACACTAATCGCCGCCGCAAAGCGTGTTCCGAAGAGGGTTTCTAATGCAAACCCTGATCTCATGTACTATTCACTACACTTAAGCTGCAAATTTGGAGGAAGGAATGTGGAAACAAGAGTGAACAGGAAACGAAAGACAAAATCATTTCGTCAAGGCTGTCCTTTCGAAGTCCATATCACCCTGTCGGAAGATGACAAATATCTGCAAGTGAATCGCATTTCGACAACACACAACCATGTTCTCCAAAAACAAATTTATGAGCGTCTTCCTCGACAACGACCTGCACGTACTAAGGAGGTGACAAGGGACATCGAGGACACAATCAAACTTCACGCCAATCCCAAACTTCTTAAACAGAAGATTGAGACTTCTACTGGGAAAAAGGTGACATTGAAGGACATCTCCAATATAAAGCAAAATTCAAAGAAAAATATTCAGAAGAATGATCTCGAAGATGTCATAGGCTATTTGAAGAAACAGCCAGGTTGTTGTACAGATGTTGTTGTTGACGAGGAGAATAATTTCAAAAGTCTGTTCTACCAAGACGCACACATGCAAAACATCTATACCCATTTCCCAGAAATTCTCCTAGTAGATGCGATGTACAAGCTATTAGATCTTCGAATGCCTGTTTATTTGCTTATGGGCATTGACGGTGACGGACTTAGCGAGGTTGTGGCTATGTTCATTGTAGCGGAAGAGACAAAAGAGGTGATACAGGCAACTGTGGAATTATTCAAAAAGCATAATCCTTCTTGGGATGAAACGAAAGTTGTAATGTCAGACAAGGATTTCACCGAACGAGATGTGTTTAAATCCTGCTTTCCGGCCGCAAGTTTAAGTATTTGCCTTTATCACACTTTAAGATCCTTCAGACGTGAAATCACGTGCGAGAAGATGGGCATTACATCCGCGGAGTGACTGAGGGCACTCGAAATTCTGTCCTCCTTGGCACATTCTAAGACTGCAGGCGAATACGAAAAACATCTTGATGAACTAAAACAAACGAATTTCAAAAGTGTCATCGATTATGTCTTGGAGAATTGGCATCCCATAAGAGAGCAATGGGTAGCTTGCTTCAAAGACAAGCATTTGAATTTAGGTGAAACCACCAACAACAGACTGGAATCCACTTTCAGCAAGTTCAAAAGCGTTTGTTCGAGATACGCAAATTTGCTGCAGTTTTGCACAGAAATCATGTCAGTGTTGCGATGCTTAAGATAGGAACGAAACCACCATTACGTGATGACAATCACACGAAGGCAAACTGAATTTGAACATCTGTGCAATGATCTCCAGGAATATTAAAAAACGCTTACACCTTATGCATTTAAGTTCGTTTGTGGACAGTATGAATCTGTGCCTAAAGTCAAGGTTTTGTCACAAAAGAATAGCAGTGAGTTCATTCTTTGTGGGTCACGAAAAAAGAATCAGGAACCACTTCTTGCTTCACCAAGTCATTGCGTCTGCTCCTTCTTTACGCGCATGTCCCTTCCCTGCCAACACATTTTGAAAGTTCGCGAGCTTCTCACTCTTCCAGCTTTTGATGAAACCTTAGTGCATAAGTGATGGACGATGGATTTCTATTTAACAACAAACCGTCTGAGCCCAGCACTCCCTGTTCTCCATGACCACGATCTGGAACATTGTGTTGAGTATGTCCCGGTCATTGAAGAAAACATAACCACTCTTACACAATCCCAAAAATTCAAAAAAGGTTTAAAGATATCACAAGTTCTTGCCTTACTTGTTAGTGAGGGTGGTATGTCTACGTTCAAAATACGGCATGAAGTCTTCCAGTCTTTGGTTAGGAGCTGGAAACTTGGCCGCGAAGTAATTGTCCAGGAAGTGGGACGGACAGAAACCGAAGCCGACCTGGAAGCAGAGGACCTTAGTGAAACTCACCATGAAAATTACATCTCGGTAGAAGAGGTAAAGGAAGACAAGCCGACAGGAGACACCGATGAAAGAGAGCTGAAAGCAGACGATGAACCGGTGAATGAAGTAAGTAGTCAGAATGAGAATAAGGAACAAATCTTAAAGGAGGACTCCGTGGTAACACATGGTGATGATAGAAAGGGCATTAAGTCACCTGACTTTTCCCAAATAAAGATGCCGCCCAAAATTCTAAAAAGAGGCCGTCCGAAGGGAGCGGAAGTGACGGTAATTCGCTTCCCGAAGAAAAAGAAGAAAACAGAAAGTCAGAATAAGTTACTTTCCTTCAAGAAGCTCAGTCCGATCGAAAAAGACCGAATGATCCTAGGCTCTCTGTCAACGTCACAAGCCGTGGGTGAAGCCATTGCGGGTCATCGATTGCTGAACAAAGAAGACATTTTGCCAGTTGGAAAAATGTCAGATACTATCAGGGATGACGAAATGGTGGACATCCATCGAGTTGAAAAGTACTTTGATAGAGATGCATGGTTGTTAGTTTTAAAATCAAGTAGGGAGAAGAACTGCATAGACTTTGTTTGTTCTGTTTGCACAAAAATGATAAACGACGAACGTGAGGACAGCATTGCTTGTGACAGATGCCTTCTTTGGTCGCATTTTAAATGCACCTCGTTAAAAAAGCGTCCAAAGCACCGAAACTGGTTCTGCACATCGTGCAGAGTGAAATACGCATGATTATTTACAAGAGAGAATGAAGCAAGAGAACCAACGGCCTGAAATAGCCCTGTTTCAATGATAATTAAATGTGGTTTCCCGCTAATCTTAGTGCACGGTCATAACAGTGGTTATTTTAAGGTGGAAATCTTCTTGCTAGATTGCTATGGTGTAATATTATCTAAATGGTATGAAATGCGTTCTCCGTTCGTGAATAAAATCCACGGGCACATAGTGGAAAGTTATTAGGAAAAGAAAGTATAATGTTGAACGGCGGTGCATTCTCTCGTCCCATTCTCTCTTTCCTTTGTTTAACAGTTTCGTCGCTTATACCATTGTAGCGATAAAAGGGTGTTTCTGGCGATGACTACCGTGGTTGTGATTCTACCACAAGATTACCTACTGCCTACCATTGGCTAATTACTCTTCATAAGCTCCATATGTCTTTCGATGGATGTGGTAAATGATTTTGTTTTATCATTTAAGCTGTAGTGAAGGACCAAGGGAACTTTTTGGGGACTTGGACATAAAATTTGGGAAAGAAAACATAGGGGACGGGTTCAAAGAAACGTTATAATGCTAGCTACTACTTTGATTTCCAGAATCAGGTGCCCTGCGCTGCTTCAAATCACATTCGCATAACTATTTTTTTTTTTTTTTTAAAAAGGGTTTACTTCATTACTATTTACTTGGATTGGTCAACGATCCCATCAGATTATTATAATCACAATCAGTAATACTGGTAGATTAAGAACCATGAAGTTAGAGTTCGGCTACGCCGCACGTGAACACTTATTTTGAGATTTGAATGAAGAGGTTACATTTCCATCTCAGTTTTGAACATTTGTAGCAAGATTCAGAATCCCAGTGGAAACCTAGCCTCCAAATACGGCCGTCTCTAATCGCTCTCCCTCGTTGGTAGGTTTCGCGAAACGTCTCTAGCGACGAAGAACGATGTCGCAGACTTATGATAACCTCGTTACTTTTAGTGAGATACAGCGTTGCGCATTCAACATCATGTTTATACCAAAACATACGAGAAATATTACGTTTTATGTGTAAAGGGAGAATATATTTATACTTATTTATTTATTTTATTTTTATTTACCACACAATAATTACAAAAAATATAGGAAAAGAAGAAAAAAAGAAGTGGCGAGGAGACCTAACAGAAGCTATAGGAGCTTGTGAGAGGTTAGGCCTCCTCGAACAACCGGATAGAGCTGTTTCACATCAATTGAAGTAAAGATAGCGAAAAGTCGAAGATGAAAAGATTTAAGAACTGTTTTCATACTTACTCAATAATTTAATCTTCAGTTTTTTCTCAGTAAAAAAGGAAAGGGATTGAGAGTTGATGACCTCGTTGTCAAGTGAATTAAAAAACTTAGGCCATTGATTGCTTGATTGCTTGATTGATATTGCTGTCAATTCACGAATCTTTCATCGAGACAGATTTTCGGAGATTTTCCCAGAAATGCTCAACATTCTGTTCGAATGGTCATTATTTTCCGATGTTAGCTTTACTGAAAATCAGCCTAGAAAGACCTTACTGTTTTAAGCTCTTACGCAGATATACATATATTTACGAATTGTGGACACGATCATGTAATTTCAAAAGTGAGTCAAACAAGTAACTAATTATTTACTTTTTTAAGAGAAAAGGTAATGCCATGTATGTAATTAGAATACCTTGATAAATTGTTGTTGTTGTTTTATTTGTGTAAAAAAGACAGATAAAAACCTGGCCTGACTGGGTGTGACGATAGTAACTTCTGTGAGTCGCGGAAAAGAGATGTCAGGACACTTTTATACTTATGGCTGGTTTTTTCCGATTTTGTGAAATTTACTGAGAATATAGAACTGCCGGCCATTTAGTGTTTTGAAAACCTTGACCGGCAGTCGAGCTGAAAAAATTTCTAAGTGTCACAAAACATGATTTCCTCCTCTGAGCCCTGCGCAAACCATTGTGATCTGAACTCTAGACATTTCGTAAAGTCCTAGCGAACTGAAAAGATTTAGCTGTATACTATCAAATCTAATCGACCTTGGAAAGCTAAAACACTTTAAATGACTCTTATTTCCTGAGCCGGCCATTTAGTGTTTTGAAAACCTTGACCGGTTACCGGCCATATAGCCACAGCGTATTTTATTACTACGACCAGAAACCTTCAGGGTTTTGCTTTCTTGTGCAAATTAGAGCTTTTGTTGTTTAAGGTGGCTCCCTAGAGCAACTAATAACCCTAGCTATCTAGCATACGTTACAGAACGAAATCCAGTTACTTTGTCTTTGCGATTTTGTTCACGAGATTCACCGCTAAGGTTACCCATATAACAAGGCTCCTTCATCAAATTAAGGCCGTTGCCATGGCAACATCGCATCCTTAGCCAGGCAGTAATTTTGTCAGTTTTGATCATTTTTTGATCATATTTCTTATTTCCCTCGGTGAAATGTCATTAAACTTTGCCACTTTATATTAACGATATTGCTTAACATTTTAAAGTGGAAAAAACATGGGATCGTTAAGACGGTTTTGCCAATATTTTGAATTTTGTAATTTTTCTTAATGGAGGAATTTACCTCTTACAGATTTTAACAAAAAAAGGACAGTGCAAAGGTACTGCAACTGTTAAGAAATGAGGCGATTTTTAAAAAAATTTACCGAAGGAAACGAGAGAAATTCACGGTTAATGAAGTACGTTCACGTCACAAAAATCCGAAAAACACGCGTGGTTCGGGGTCGTATGAGCAAAATACGCGCGCGAGCCATCACGCCCGCATGCGCATAATGCACAAAGCTACTGAAAACATTTGGTTTCTTTGAAAAGTACGAAAGCCATTGTTTTGAAGCCGTTTATCAGTATTATTACGGCGATATCTCGCCAGTTGAAAAAGGAGAGATAGCGGATTCAATTTTATACCTAACACAGGATGTTTTCTTCGAAGTACTTGACTATTGTAGCTAAAATTCGAATCCTGGTGGTCAGTCGTGAGGATGGCGATCATCGGAGATGAAAACGGCGGTTGCGCAAGGATCGCAATAAGCCCTTCATTTCCTAATCTGCTGTACACTGTTTGCAGATCTTCAAATGTCAGCCCACTTCCGGATACTTTTTCAACCTTGTTCTTCTTTAGGGATAATTTCGACGGCGAAGTTTTTCTTAACAAGTCTGATGTATAAGATGGCGCCGATCCATGAATCGTACATCATGTTCTCAGCTACACGTACAAGACCGTAGGTCTTGACGGACAACTACGCTTTCGTCAGGGGTCAATCTGTGAGTAAAAATTATTTCTCGTTGTGCAAAAACATTTTCTAGTGCATCTGGCATGTGCGTTGGAGGACGTTTGAAACAATAAAAATACAAGGATGTTGCATGGTTTGTCGGTGGAAAGGTTCCTTCCATTAGGATGTAAGTTAAGTGGGGAACCTTTTTTTCTGATAAGTTTTTTAAACAATGTGATAGAGTCGGCAAAACAAAACAAAAATTTACACTCCATGTAATCTGGTCTTAAATTAAAGCCACTTCTAGAATTAGTTAAATCAAATCAAATGTAAGAGAAATAAAGTGACCGAGGAGCTCCGCCAGTGAAGACAATCTTCAGCGTTTGTTCGGCAATTGGCTCGATCTTTCCGATCTTTCCACTGACCGTGAACCAAAGGCCAGAAACAGCAACGTTGCTTCCTTCTGGGTAAGTGTACTTACCTCTTTGTTTTCTTAGTAAAGTTTCCACTCACCATTGACTTCGACTATTTAACGTTTGTTTCTCTACTTTTGAAGCGAAAGAATTGATGATTTCTGCTTTGTTTTTACATACAATTTACTCTTATGGAGATCGATACTGACTTGTAACCGGTGTAACATTGTCTCCTCTCATAAATGTTTGACCTACACTAATCAGACTTTTTGCACAATGAGCTTCAACAGAAAGTTAATTCCTCGCGAAGCGAGGCGAGGAGCGCCGAGCGAAGTGAGTCTATAATCTCGTCGAGCGCACGCAATGCGTGAACCGCGTGTGGGTCCTAGCGAGCTGCAAACTCGCAGCTCTCATCTTTATTTGTATATATCCGATGGTGTCCGCCATGACGTCATACAGTAGTTTGACGTCACGGCGCATTTTTGTTTCTAGGCAACATTCGACTGAAAGCGATTTCGAATTTCATCAATGATCGAAGTATTCATGAAGAGCTGTCTTTTCATCTTCTGCAAAACAATGTTTACTATCGGTGAATCTCAAGCCATTTCTCATGAAAACAGAACAGCAAACACAAGAACGCCGAATTGTCAATCCTTGCAGCGGAAGATTTGACACCGAAAAATCCGCTGGAGCGAGAAGGCCGACTTGAAATTCAACGGCCCAAGAAACAAAGATGGAGACGGCATCAACAAACAGCGAAGCAGAGGAACATCACTCAATGAATTTCGAATGCTAAAGTACTTTAAGAGCAAATGGAAGCCATTTTGGATAATTAGCCTTAACATATGAGCGAACATCGCGGTAACAAAACACGTTTTGCTCGCAGACGAGTTTATACCGTACTGGTCTAGACGGTTGGGCTTCCATTCTTTACATGTAAATGCGATGAAATACATCTACGTTGGGTTTTCACTAACGAAACTGCAGTCATTCTTCTGAAAAATATCTTTGAATTCACGTTTAATAAGGCTCGAAGGCTTTAATGATAAAATTTCGACAAATGCCCGTCTGTGTTCCACGTGGCCTAGTGGTAAAACTCTGACCCGCTGTGTCGGAGGTCCTGAGTTCGATTCCGGGTATATCCTTTTTCTCTTCGCTCTTTTCTTTTCGTCTTTTTTTTTCTTTTTCTTTTCCTTTAGTTTTCATTTTAGGTATAACAGTTTTGTTAAGTTTCTATATATAGCTTACAATTTTTAGACTTACAAATTTTCTTCTCGGCTTTACTTGCCGTTCTCCCGAAGTCCTTCGCGAGGTCCTGCGATTTACGTATTTCTAGTAAAGTTTTTTTGGGGGAATATTTCGAAACTGAGAGGCCATGTTATTTTAATTTTTGCGTGGACGTCGCTCGTCAGGCGGCGCACGGCCAATTTACTATAGGGAGCCACCTTAAAGTTCGCTGGGATTACCAAATTTATACAAATGAAAAGAATAGAATGACGTCATTGTGTAAATGAGCTATAAAATGTACATCAAGGAGATAAGCACGGCAATCTAAGTTTTTATTTAGCCAGGTTTAAATAACTGTAGATTCAAGGAATTAACCTGAGCGTTTAGGGCACGCCAGACTCTGATTTTGGCATGCCCGGCATGCCGCAGAATTTGGCATGCCCGGCATGTCAGAGAATTTGGCATGACGGCATGCCGGAGATTTTGGCACGCGAGGGATGCTGGGTATTAATTTCTTATTAGAACCTTGGCTTCTCGCGGCGCTGCTGGGAAGGTCACGGAACCTCAAAATATGCTTACAGGGCATGCAAATTTCCGTTGCATGCCAATTTAAATGCAAAAACACTCTGGGGTTACCTCCTCTATTAACAGTGAGCAAATCATTGACGATAGGCATGGGAAAAATCCTTGCATACTAACCAAAATTGAAAACGTAGCAGAAATGACGTCCTCAGTTCCTGAGTCATGACCTAGGGGAAGCTTAAAAATGACATAGATGAGGGAATTTTCCTTTAACAGCATGTGATCATGCCGGCTAGGGCGTATTTCCCCTTTTTACGGCTAGCTAGGCTCATATTTAGGCTCCATGGCCTGAAATGACGCAAAATTCATGCCCTAAATGATAAAAGTCCAAAAAAGTGCTCGAAATTTTAGTTTCCAAGCCGTTTAAGAACTATGCTTGATCGTGCTTTTCGACTTTCGTCTAACTGGTCGTATTTCTCCGAAGAATGCGATCGTCTTAAATTACTTTTTTCCCGGCTAAAGTACCCTGAAAAACTCATTAACTCTACTATCTCACGCTTTATTGCCACAAAAGACTCTGATCAACCTGTTTCATCGCCCGCGGCTGTTATTGATTCATCTGACCCTGTTCGTGTTATATAGCCATTTAAGGACTAGTCCTCGGCTGACATTGTTCGACGTCAACTTCAGGATTTGAGTCACAAAAATTACACGACCGTGTCTCCAGTGTTTGTCAGCAAAAAGATTGAGCAAGATCGTAAAATGCGAGAACCTAAGCCACCCCTTGTCAACCAGCAATGTCTTGTTTACAAATTTGAATGTGATCTGTGCGATGCAGGTTATGTTGGTTACACATCTCGCCACTTACACCAGCGAATTGAGGAACACAATAGCGCAAAGTTCATCCATCGGCCAGCACTTTTGTGTTAAACATTCTTCAGCACCTAAAGATCTTAGTAATAATTTTAGGATTTTAAAGAAGTGTAAAAGCAAATTTTACTGCCTGGTCTTTGAAATGTTTTTTTATCAATGAACTGAGACCTAGTCTCGATGTAAAATCAGACTCACTTCGTGCAAAAGTTTTTAAATAGCTCTTTTAATTATATTCTATTGTTGTTCTTTTTCTGCATGCTTTATTTCACTCTTTCATCATTTTCAAACATATTTTATAGTTCTCGACATATTTTTACACCTTGCACATATATATGCTAATTCTTTTAACTTTTTTACTTACTTGAAAATGACCGAAGATCGGTGGAAACGTCGTTTTTTTTTCTGTGTCCAGTACACAAAATAAATGCCCAAACTCCCATCAAAGCCGTTCTCTCCACCCATTTATTACAAACCCTATATCTACTTGTCGTTTAATTTCTGGAAACAATATTCTGCCAATCGAAAATGTTTAACTTTGGTGGATATGCAGGAATATGTCGCCTCCCTCTGACTTCTTTGAAAGAGTTAAATTTTCCCTGACTTGTTAAATTGTCGCTTACGGGGAAAAGAATTAATTTCCCTAGCATGGCAACTATGTCACACGCTAACATTGTGAGGAGATCCGAAATACAGATGCTCTGTTCAAATATTAAGTAGGATCCAAAATAGAAGTCCAGCAATAACAACTTTTTGTTATGTTTGACTTAAAAAACACAGCTGTGTCTATGTATAAGGTTGTTATACATATACCTGTATGGTTTTGGGGAAATGTAATGAAAATTGTAAACGAAAATTTTGTTCAGTAAGGATTTTGTTTATAATTTATGCAACGCTTCCCCAATACATGTCATACTTTATGTCAGTGTTGTAAACTGTTTATTGTAAAATAAAGCTTACTGTAAAACCCATTATTGCTCATAGTGTAAAGACTGACTAGCTAGTCCGTTGGAAAGATATTCTTGACGTGCATTGTACAGATCGTGTAACTCTTGCTGCCTATCGTTGCATCGAATAAGATGATTTTGACTGTACACTTCAAGCATTGCCTGATATCCTGAAGCGTCGGCAGTCGGTGTTCCCTCTCTTCATCGGCTTCGTCTGCAGTGTAATTGTAGTATTTTGTCGCTGCCTCTTTACATGTTTGTGGTCGCTGTGTTGACCAGGTTGCCTTCGCTGTGCTAAGCGGTGTTCTCTTTGCTCCACGGTTTCTTGTTGTCGCCTTTTTCTCCTCTGCAGCTCGCGCTAGATTTCAAGCCGCTGTTCTCGCTCTTGCGGAGTTTCGTTGGTAAATCATCCCCGGCGAGGATTATCAGCCATTTATTGGATCCACCGTTGTTGAGTTTGTTGTTCTCTTCCTTTTGCCTGAGACATTGGTGGCGATTCACCGGCCGTAAACATGGTTATATTAAATTCACAGATCAAAACACCGTCAACTCTCATGAATATAACATTTTGTCATCGAATGCCATCGGTTGCCTGGAAACTCATAATGCACTTTGACGTCACTACCCTGGATAACATCAAGGCGGACACCAATCAAACTCGATAGATTTATACCCGAGAGAAAATCACGCTGGCCTTGCGATCCCCATGGGAAGCACGCACGCGAAGCGGGCGACGAGATTATAAACCTCGCTTCGCTCGGAATAAAACATTTGTTCATTCGGTACCCTTAACACACATGGTTTACTCTGTAGTGCCAGAAAGCCTAGAGTGCCTTAGCACCCGACTTCTATATAGGCCTCCTTGTCATTATCACTTGAAACATGTAATTTTGTAAATAATTTCGTTAGAATGGTGTCTATTATCTTTAATGTACGCTAAATTTCTTGTGTTTTGTTGTTGTATTTTTGTGTGGTTAATACCAAAACTAAATGAATGAAGATATAAATGAATGATACTTTTATCATGAATAGTAGTTTCGATAGGAAAATCCATGAACCAGCTGGACTTTTAAACCGCAGAATTTGAATAATTTTGGTGATACGCAGCGCAGAGTGTATATTTTAAAAAATTATAGAAAATTCGGGTTTCAACTTCGTTTAGATCTGACAGCACTAAATGACTATTAAAAGGTGATATTTTGTCACCTGACATAATTTTAAGCAGCTACGGATTTACATTTGTCGAGGTAGCACTCAATTTAGGTAAGAGTTTAAGGTCGATTTTGGGCCCCTCTAGGAGGTAAACACGAAAAGCCATGTGTCTAGAGAAAAACATAAAAAGCCAAGCATCTTGAAAGCTACAGTTTTGAAACAAGTTAACTTTTTGAGCCCTTCATGTTTGGGAGAATCAACTTTTTCTATCCTGATTACGTATAGTTGATCTTCTCAGCAAGCTGCTCTTAAGCATTAAGTTTTATAACTCTTTGCTTCAATTGAAATAATGGTGTAAATATGATCCCAGGTTCTAACCTAACTGACGAAATATATTCTGTAGTTCTTACCAACTCCAGTCCAACAACCAGTTTATCCTTCAGCGTTGGAAGAGTTCCAATCCATTTAATCACTCCATATCGTGGACGTCCTTGGGCCATTGGTATCTCAACCGTCGAGCCAACTTTAAATTCTAGCGGATCATCAGCTGTCGCTTGGGCCTGAAGATCTGAAAAGTTCACAGTGAAAAATGGGCAGTCTATAATTAACTGCATGTGACAACTTCCTTGTAGAATATTGGACGAGTTGACTTCTTTATTACCTCCTTCATAATATTGATTTATGCCAACAAACCTTCATATCAATTACTGGCATATTTGACTGAGCGAGAACTGAGAATAAGTCGATCGTAACCCGATAAAAATCGTAATGTATTCAACAACATTCATGTTCATGCTCAGCTGTATTAAGTTATCGGGAAAGTGATTGATCAGTGGGCTTAACCAAACTGGGGCAATTTTTTTTTTCCGACTGGTTGGAAAGGCGCAGCGATCTACATCCTGTCAAGGTTCCAGGACAATTGCTGCAGGTGTGGCACCGTCAGGGTTGAACACCTTAGCCAGTTAATCATGAAAACAGATACAAGGACTAGGCAGTATGACTGTCCAGCTCACATGCTCCACAACATCAGAAAGGTCTGCCGCCCCTGTAAGGGCTAATGCTAATGCACATTCAACCAGAACGAAAGCCATGTAAACGTCTCACCATCATCACCTTTCATTTATCCGAGATGAAGTCAGCAGTTGATCATGAGAGGCTGAACGAACGGAGAATTCTGGCCGCCGTCATTAGCGGTTACTGGACGAAACAGAAATCGCTTTCGTTCGAACAATGCCTAAATCCCTTGCCGTTTCAACCATTCTTTGATTGGACAAAAGTTCGTTTGAGGATTATTAGCACAACTTTCAAACAAAAAATGATCCGATCAGTTCTCGTGAAGTAAGCGAAAATCTGTTTTGCCATGAACCAGGCGTATTGTGAAACAACCGTTTTTTTCTTACATCACAATTACATTAGCTCCTGTCCCGACAAGGACGGCTATTGACATTGCTTATTTTTTCCACGGCAGTTCTATCTGTTGGAAAACGTTGTAAGTTTGTCTACCAAGCCTACTGGATTTTTTGACATTCGTGCTCATATTGAATACTGGCGACTGTAATGCTGACATCTCTGAGTAACTATTATACCAGGTAAAGGACCTCGTGTTTTGTCGTATATCCACGACTCTATAGCTCTTTGCCTTGCCGAAATTCTTACTGTGTAAGTAATTCCTTCCTTTCCTTAAATGTTTGCGGACGTGAATCTTGTTTAAAGTTATGTTATCCTTTGGATTAAAGCATGCGCTATGAGATACAACAATTTTTAGTGTATATAATTCGGTATGAGTGAATACTTCAAGCACGTTCATAAAACTCCGAAAAGCTGGGAAAAAGTTTCTTGTTTTATTACGATCTTTCATCAAAAGCCCGAAAAAACACTTTTACAGGCTTGAAAACCCTGAAAATTGACTATTTTCTTCCCAACCACTTTTTCAGACAATCATGGACAAACGTCCTGGGATACTTTTACATTTCTGCGGCGTTTTCGTTCAAATTCACACAAGTCCAACCCCTCCCCTCACCCCATAAACAATGTTGAATGCGTGTTTCCGGAATTTTTTCCGAGTTTCAACTTGGTATAGGGTGGGGGGAAGGAGAACTGCAAGAAAATTTCGAAAAAGATGCACTGTTTTATCAGGGAACCGAGAAATGACAGAAAAATATAAATTTTGCAGTAATGTCCCAAGGAATGTCCCATAATTGTAGTTATACTTATACAAATTAAGCTAAAAAAATCTAAAATCAAAATCAATACAGCTAAGATATACTTAAAAAATAATCTGTTTAAATATTAGTATTTACACTGGGTTTTATAATAAATCAATTTGTAAGTCGCGCTGATGAGTCCTTACCATGCGAGCAGAGGCCCTTCGATCATCCTAGATAAGTCCCGACTTATCTAAGAAGATCGAAGGGCCTACTGCTCGCAGGGTAATGAGTCCTTATACCTAGTGAGGAGATTATAAATGGATGGTCACGATGTTTCAGTTTAGAAAGAAGACGGCGGTCACTTTTTTGCAATTGCTCATCGATGTTATAACAGATGTATAGCGCCTCTTGTTAAAAATGCTTTAAAAAAAACCTCTCGGGTTAATGACCCTTCTTCAGTGTGAGAAAAAACCGTTGTACAGTACTACGCAATATAATCCGTAACAAAGAGTTTTGCATTTTTTCAAGTACCCCACTAAGGAATGAAATCTAGAATCCAAGTTCCACAGGAAAAGACTGGAATCCAGCACCCGGAATCCAGAATCCATGGAATGGGATCCAGAATCCAAGACTGTCTTGTATTCGCTAACATGGGGCGATAGTACTGGAATGTGAACGGCGAATTACTATTTTTCCTTTATTTACCTTCCACTGATCAGTAGCCCACATTTGAAGACCTTTTTTAATGAAATTCCAGTTAGAAGGTTTCTCCCTATCAGGAGTGGTCAGCTTAGTTCTCACGCTCCAAGAGACAGTCCGGAGTCTAAGGCTACTTTTGTATCGCAGCCAGTTAATAAAGAAGTTGGCACACGCAAATAATAAAGTTTCAACATCAATTTCGAATCGTGCAACATTAG